AAATAAATAAATAAATAAATAAATAAATAAATAAATGAAGTGTTACTATGAATATAGCAATGACCTCAGTGCCTTTAAAAGAAGATATGCATATTTCCTATCTAGCTTGAAAGTGTAATCTCCAAAGGCAAGCTATTTCAAGTCTAAAGAAACACAGTATAAACAATGCACAGTGATTGTGATAATTTAATTTCAAAGCAAAGGTTGACAAGGAATGTACAAATCTTGATTTATTTAAGTCAGTACTGGTGTTACTATACAAGGCATATTCACAAACCTCTCCAATTTACCTTATGTAACCTTTGGGGTTATGTGCTTGATAATTAGTTCGAAGAAATGTTAAAGCAACCAGAAGATGCATTTCCTGAATAAAATATATACTTCAAAATAGATTTTTACAGTAACAAATAGTGTAAAGTATGATTATATATAATATAGTAAAATGACAAAATATTATTATTATATACCTTCCTGATGAGACAGTATAGGGTAGTGGTTAAAAGCATGAGCTTTGGAGTCATACAGATGTGGGTTCAAATCCCAGTTCTGTCACTTACTATAGTTACTTACAACTCTCTTACTTACTGGTGTGAATTGGAGCATGTTACTTTACTTCTCTGAGCCTCAGCTTCCTGAAAAGTAGATTGGGGTTTGAGATTTCTACCTCATATTTGATTGTAAGAATTAAATTAAATAATTTGAGTAATATGGTATCTCTGCTGTAACTAGAAACACATCAGACACTTGAGATGCTAAGTTCCTGGGTATCTCACTGGAACACCTATGATTCCTAGTTATTGCTTAATTCTTCACTTTCCTGATCATTATTACACTAGGATACACTTTCTGCTTCTGCTTCAGAATTTGGCTCTATATTAAAAAACCTCAGGGGAACTTGTATTGAAAAACTGCAACTTACATAAATCAAATACTATCTTTGTGCTTCAATATTCAGATGACCTTATTTATTTTCTCCCCCCGCCCACGCCATCTAGCTCACAAAAAGATAATTCTCTTAAGTTATTTAAATAAGTCACATAAGTGGGTACAAAAAAGTATCAAAGTTCCAGTTTATCTTAATAATGTTTATTAGGTCAAAAGAGTGCTACCTTTGGCGGAACATTTTCTCAATCATTTGTCAAATTTAGGGAATATGAGGCATTGTTTTTGCTAGCAGGGCCAGTTGAAATTCTGCACTTGAATAGAAGAAAGACTAAGAGAAAAAACTCACCTTAGGGGATTAGATCTATCATACTATCTCTTTAGAAAATTGCATTTTTGCTGTGGAAAGAGCCAAGATGTCCATCGACAGATGAATGGATAAAGAAGATGTGGTATAGATACACATTGGAATATTATGCAGCCATCAAAAGGAATGAGATCTTGCCGTTTGCAATGATGTGGATGGAACTGGAGGGTGTTATGCTGAGTGAAATAGTCAATCAGAGAAAGACATGTATCATATGACCTCACTGATATGAGGAATTCTTAATCTCAGGAAACAAACTGAGGGTTGCTGGAG